GGCGGCTTCTGCCCGGCCGGCAGCTTTTCCCTCAGGGGAGGGCCAAGACTGGCTTTTACCGGCATTTTATCCTGTGACAACGTTAGAGAAGAGACCACAGTTCCCTATGGGTGCGTGTTGGCCATTTCCCATGGTCAGGCTAATCCCTGTGACTGACACACACCAAAAATATTTCTTCTCAAGGTGATAGCGTCAGGGCTTGCTTACGCACTTTAGGGATTAGCATTTACTCTTGTCTAGTTAGTTTTGCTCAAGTAGGAGGTTTCGGTTTCTCCCAGCTGAAGGTGGGCTGGAGCGGGATCCCTCTCTCCGAGAGATACGGGTGGCCCTGGCGCAGTAGGGTCCCTGCCCCAAACTGCACACAGAAAAGTTAGAAAAAGTTAACATTATGGCCACTTTACCTTACTGCATCTGTCCCAAAGGCTGGAGGCCAAAATGGGCCCACCCCGGGATGGTAAAAGGGGCCAATTCAACTAGCATTCATCTGACACCACTTGAGGCAGGCCTCGATGAAACTGGTTAAAGCCTTGGTTACTCCTTGTACCTTTTCTGTGTTACAGCTGTCAGTGCGGAACACAAAGCAAAAAAGGAAAGCCTGTAGAAAGCTGACAGTGAAAGCACAGAGATTAAGTAAGTGTCCTCATTTTTACCGGGTCCATTGGGCAGCCAGGAGCAGAACACCACAGCTCCTGGCCTTCATCTTGCCACTCGCTTTGAATCATATTTCTCAGTTACTCTCTTAAAATAATTTTGCAAATCTGCATTTACTTTTTGGGGATTTTTAATCTTGTTAGGGTGAGTACTTTTGAATTTTCATGAGGAACCTGACATAGCATTAAGAATGTTTTACTGAAATGAAGACAAGACTAGATACTCAACTAGAGTCAACCAAGAAGTGTTTGCTCTAGTTTATAACATTGTGTAAGAAGTTTCCATTGCATTCACAGTAGAACATATTTAAAGTACTCCTGAGTTGAGTAAGAGGAGGTTGAAATCTGGCAAGTGATTTGCTTTGAGTGGCTACATGATCAGAAAACAGGTCATCGGGAGATATACAAAGCCAAACAGCATGCTATCTTAGGATGTTAAACTGGGTTTAAATTTCATTTTACTTCCTCCCCGCCAAGATATGCCTTCTTTAAACCACGGTCTTTTTTTGTATAGTAGGATTCAATTGCAAACATTATGAATTCTTGGTTTGACTCTCAATATTTTTCAGGATGGCTAATTTACTATCCTCAACGTATAGCTTCCTGTAACTTAAAAAGAAGAGGTAGGTACTTCATGAAATTTAAAACAGTTGCCACCCATAAACATCATTATTCATTCAGGCTTAATCACAGTTTATTAGCCTATTGATCATGGTTAGGCAATTGTGTTTAGCACAGGTCAGACGTGTCTGTTGCTGAAGCTACTTATGAGCAACAGGTAGCTCCTGGTCATGAGGACAGCCCATGTGAGCTTCATGCTTAATTGCAGCAGGGAGCTTAGACATAGCTTCAGATATTTTAATATTGAGCATAAACAAGAGATAACTGGGTTTTATTCTCATCTACTAACAAAACAAGATTGTCATTCCTTCACGTTCCATTCTTCCATGACGTGTCCTCTAAATACAATTGATAATCTTGGCCAGCTTAGAAGACACGTCTACCAAACTAACTAATGTAGGTATGCCCTATATCATAGTATAGATGCTTACTGCTGCAGAGCATAACCTGGTTTCTGTACAACTATCACTTTTCTGTATGTTAAAAGCAGTTGGGAAAAAAGGCTCAAACTCCGCTGCTTTTCACTGTGGCATTAGGATGACCAAACTTTCTGAAGCTTTTTAGGGATTTGATCCTGCAAGGTTTTGAAAATGTAAAGTATATTATAGAGCTACTAAGCTGAACAGAATGAGTCATTTCTTGTGGGTTGAACAGCACAACCAAAGGAAAGTTCTTATGGCATAGGCTTTCGGAAACGATGGGCTGTTCAGGTGCAAAACTAAAGAGAAATAACTGACCTACAACACTTGTATCCCTTCTGAATCATTCACAGAATCTGCATCCAGCTTTACATGCACGTGCTATTTCTTACTGAGCTTAAATGTCAGTAAAACTTTATCATTTAGTGAAAAAAAAACTTTTCTCCTCTAGGGGGTTAAAGAAAACCCTTCAAAATATGAGCTCAGTGGCAGTGAGATGGTTTGTTTTGGAAACTGCAGACAGAAAGGCAAAAACTACCTGTGCAAAAGGAAACATAAGCCCTAAACCTTTTTCCCAGCACTTAGCCAGCATGGCCAAAATCTTTGTTTCTGAACCATTCCAGAAACAGAGTTTCTCCTTGGTCATGTCCCAGCTAGAGATGGTGGTTTATGCAAGAGAAACATGGCTCACATGCAGCGAGCTGGAGAGAACAGCAGCAGCCAGAATTACAGTATCTCTGTTGTTCTCATGTTTTTCCAAAATTGTTACATTTCTGGACCATCTGGGAGGTTTCAGCTATGCTCGCTCTCGTTCTGAACTAAGAGTGGTTTCTGTGTATAGGGAACACTGCAACCAGGAATCTGGCAATTGGCCTACTGCACGAGTTGAAGTGATACAGAATCTGTGTGGAAAGCGAAATAGAAACCTCATCTACTAGATCTGTTTTCAAACGTGCGAAGTAAAAAAAAAAAAAAAAAAAAAAGGGTGAGAATTAAGATAAAACGCAGTTTGCACACTTTGCTTTATGCACGCCTCATTTATGATCCGCTCACTGAGGAAGGGTCTAGTCTATTGTTTACCTTTGTTACATGCATATCTATGGTATTGTCAGAATAGTTATAGTAAATATTGTAATAAAACAAGCATGACCAAGATGTGAGTCATCTGTGAAGAGAGATCTGCCACAAACAGACCTCATTTGTGCTTGATTTATTCTATTTTTTAGAAACCTTCCAGACAGACACAGTGATGGTCCATTGAATTTTATAGTATTTGGAGGCTTCTTACACTTGCGCTGTGTTTTTTTCCTACCTTTCCCAGCTGAAGTAGATGTATAGCTTTATATAGATGTATAGAGCCATCCAAATAGTCCCAATCTTTTGAATTATTTTCTATAATTAATTGCAGCTGTGGACACTGTAACAGGTCTGTTTGGAGTAATTGTTAAAAAGTTCATTTAGCATTGATATAAGTATCAAAAGCTTTGGGGTGGGAGTCAAGATCCAGATGAAAAGACAGGTTGTGTATATTACTGGATTATCATAATTTATAACACTATTTCCAAGAAAATATTTTGAAGGCCACAGTTCTATGGTAAAAATCCAAAATAAACTCAGCTAAATGAAAGGATTTACTGCCAGTTTACACTGTTGTGAACTTGATTTAAAGAGACAAAACATTTTTCAATGTTTCATTTTTAAATTCCCTTTTAGTATCCTGGGGAGGAGAGAGTTCTCACATATGGGTTACAAAATTAGAAGAAAGAGTATGAAAATTAATTCAGGTGGTTGTCAAGTAAGAATGAGAGGTAAAATGACTCAGCTTCAGTGGATCTCAGTCTTTATGGTTTTAATCTTTAAAAACAATTAAAAAAAAAAGACCTGTTGAATAAAGCACTTTGATTTGTTCACACAGGGACTTTCAAACGAGCTTCACCCAGCTCTGAAGTAAAACAGGGTGGACAGCATGGTGGGAACAGCTGCGAAACCTCAACCACTTGAAGTAAATATGTTTTTGTCTTAAGTTGAGCAGCGGTGCTTTCCATAGCAACACATTCTGAATTGGAAACATAAAAAACAAACATATTACTGAAACTCAATAAAGAACCATTTTAAACTTTAAAGGATCGTGGCTCTGCTTCAGCCACTTGGATTGAATATGGCAGAGGAAATCCAAGATAGGTTGATTTCTTTGAAGCTCTTTAGTATGAATCAAGATTTTGGAGGATAACAGTGATGGTTGGCTGAAGTCCATCCTGACAAGGTGTTGAAAATTCTGCTGAATTGATGTCAGATTTGGACTGTGATGTAGGCCAGTTTATCAATAAACAGTCCAGTGCTTTTTAATCAAACGGATGTAACTGACAGAGGACTCTAAGCCCAACAGGAAAGCAGCAGCAGCAGATTGTGAAATGCTGAGCTTTTCTCTGCTTCCAGAATGTTTGGCTGAGATAGGAGCCTGGATGAGAAGGCAGTGGCTGAGGCTAAGTCCAGATAAGGAGGAGGTAATTCCAGTTGGCAAGGTAAAGCAAACAGAGGCTTTATCTTTTCTGTATAAAAACATTTGCTAAAATTATGCATGCAGGCTTAGTAACTCGGCATGGAAAGGGCTTAGAAGATGTCTCATGGACAATTTGTGTAGTTACTGCAGTTGTATGTGCAGTCCTGGAGATGGCACACCTGGATTGTGTGTCATTGCTGTACTTACACAATTCTTAAAAAAAACCTTGAAGGATTCTGCTTTTCTTGTAACTTCTAAAAGGGTGAGAAAGAAAAAAGCCATTCAGGTCTGCTCTGGCAATAATTACTAGGGTGAGGGTATACTCCAAAGACTTATAATCCCTATGAAGAGCATTTCCAGCAACTCCCTCTCGATTGTATTAAAAGGTGTCTGAAACCACTGCCTCCATGTATTGTTACGAGATACCACAGAGCTTAGTACAGACATCCACTGCGGTAGTCCACGTGACTAGAAATTTTTCATATATGCCATGATTCTCAGCAATGTTTCTACAGTTCTTTCCCAGTGAATTGCAGAAAAATACTTTTGTCCTTGTAGGGACACAAGGGGATGCCAGAAAGGGCACTGGGAAGTGTCAGCCTTTGAATTGTTTAACCTATGTCCTCACAGCAAATGTCCGAGTTAACTGCCAAGTGAAAGCATCACCACCCGGCTTGGTGAGAGACTAATTCTGTGTGTGGGAAGGGTGAGGGGAGAAAGATAAGAGATGAAGTTGGGGGAAATGGTGAACTTTACATTGAAGATGTTACCTAAGAGCTCAGTAGTCCAATTCTACTGTTTCTTTGATCAAGTGTTTGTCACTGAAGGCACTGTTTGTACTGTCAGCTGTGAATAGCGGAACTGAATTGAATGTGCTTTTTGCTTTGAATGCGTGTTGTGCACAGGGTCTAGCCACCAGATGGGAGGAACCCACAGGCTGGCTTGTTCAGAGCTCGTGTCTATTCACTGGCAGCCGAAACCAGCCATTCCAAAGATAGCGTTTTCCTGAATCGGTTTATTTTGGCATTTCCTGCATCAGTTTGTTTTGGCATTTCCTGCATGAATGTCATGGAGTAGAGAAAGACTTAAGTAATAAATAGCATCTGTCTTAAATTGAAAAGAGGAACGTGAGTAAAAAGAGTTAGAAGCAATTGTAGTTAATTTAACCAGCAATGATCTTATGATGGAACAGCCTTGCATGATCTCTTCCTGGAATGTTTGTTACCATGAAGTGAACTTTGGTTTCTCAGTACAGTTTCCCATGGACAAGGGTCCACAGCAAAAAAACCCCAAAACATAATTTAGCCCCTTACTGGGAACTGATGGACCAGGGGCAACCATAAAATGATTAGTTTCTCCATCACATGTGGAGATCTAGAGATCTCAGCTTTTCCCCAGTTTACCTTCTTACTCCACTGAACAATTTCAAATAATTTTCCTAGAGTAACACCTTCACTGATGAAACAGAAATGTAACACTTAATTGCACTATGTTCCATTCCTGAAGTGTTTAATTCTATAGGCCATAAAGTTTTGTGGTATATTAATACTGAACAAGCAGAAGAATTAGGAACTGTGCAGATGGATTCTGTGCTGCTGATTCATGGGTTTCATTACTTTTTTAATGAAGGATGTTGATTTATATTGTCTGTATGGCTTCTGAAATTGGAAGTCGTCAGACTCACAATGAGTATTCACTTGCAATCTTAGTTTATGTCTTCAAATATAAAAATAATGAATAAATAATAAAAAATAATGACTAAAAATGCAGAATAATGACAGAACTTTTTAACCACAATTACAGTGGGTTCTCTGGATTTCCCTTCTGAAGCAGTAATTCATACCACTGCACATGAAGAGCAGTATTGGATGAGCCCAAGCATCACTCGTACTGGCACAGGTTTTGGGTTTAGGTGTTGAATCTCCAACACTGAAAAAGTTTGCTGATAAACTGCAGATAAAGGAGTGCTACAGGCATTGCTTGTGACTATTAGAATATGCTCTCTCATATGCACACATCCTTGTGTGGAGTGGGTGCACATACAGTTGCACAGACTAATTAACACACCTGATTAATATGAATTCATTAGAAAAGCTACTATTACATGCACCTAATTAATACAAATTTGTTAGAAAAGCTACTATTTTATAAGGCTGAATCATTGTTTTTCTAAATGTTACTGTAGTGCTTTTCTTTGAATAGATGAACAACGTCTCTTTTTTCCTTATTTTAATGGGAAAAAAATGAAGTTTCTCAGCATGCTTGTACAGAAAAAACTGGTAGAGAAGGACGTAAAAGTTTTAAGAGATTTTCGAGCTGTACTAAGAAAGCTCTACGCAGGTCAGAAAAGGGAAAAATACTGTCATGGAAGCATGTGTGATCATTTAAATTTTGCATTAGGAATTAGGCTCTTGTGGTTGTTTCACTAGTAAAACAATTCAATGCTAATCTTGCTTCTAGAATTAGGCATCTTCTATAGATTCAAAAGGCACCTTTTTAAAATGAAGGTGAAGCGCCGTATTAACAAGTTATGCTACTAGATTGAAGTACCCATTCCGTTTTAAGCTTTCAGAATACAATTCACATTTGCTAGTCTGAGTAGCAGAAAAAAAGAGAAAATTTAGACTGAGAACTCTGAAAAACATTGCAAACACTGTATCTCCATAACAGCTGCTCTGAATTATTTCTGATGTGCTGAGGGACAGGGAAGCTTGGGTGCTATATATTACATAAAGCTTCTATGTCTAGGAATATATACAACACAGTGCACGTTGCACTTGGCAGCTAATCTACCAGGTTTTTTTAATGCTGGTCACTCAGTGGGAGAAAGTATTTTGGCGTCATCTTCAAAAATACATTTACAAGTGTAGAGCTATTAAACACTGAGAGTTACTGAATATTTCTTCTAGCTTTCTATATAAACAGAGCCTTGTGCTTGTCTCCATTCTGCTTTGTTTTGTGTGTGTCACAAAATTGGCTGTTTTCTCATCAGTTAAGTAAATACAAAATTTGTCATGTGATAATTCAAATAGAAGGGAATCACATCTCAATATTCAAGGAGGGATCTTGCTGTTCTTTAGGAAAAGTTAGTAAGCTGAATACATTTACAGAGAAAAAAATAGGAAACAGAAGGATTTCCTAGATGTAAAAAATTACTATTGCTCCAGCTGACATTACCCGCACACCAGCGAGTAGACACGCAGTCTCTGGCTGGCCTCATCTTACTTGTAGATAAGTTAATCAGTATTTTAAATAACTAAATATTTGACATCTTCCAGTAGTATCCTGCATCTCAGGAAGTGATTCATTGTAGTTCTCCTATAAACCACATTTGGAGGGTTTTGTGGTTTGTACTTCTATTAGGCCTCATTTTCAAAATTAAACATTGTAGTGTCTATTAAATTCAAAGTCACTCAGAATCAATTTGCGCTAAATGTGCTTTGAATTACACTTATAAATACAGTTTTCATTGAAACCAGTCAAAACCTTGCAGGACAGAATTAAAAATTAGTTGTTGTATAGTCTTTGTTCATTGTAGTTACAAGTGAAAATCACAAACAACCCAGTAACACTGACACAGCAGAAATAACAAAAAGAACAATGTTTTAATCCTGCACATGCAGATAAATCATGCAATTCAGTAAGGTATTTCTATCTCTAGTTTCTCTCATTCTATTCACTCCTTTTTCTTTAATCTTTCAGTCACATTCCCAAATCTCCCTTTTTGGTTAGCTGACAAATAAGAAAGAGCAACACAACTACATTTGTTGTCTTTGTACCTCTGCACCTCTCTTAAGCGGGTATCCAGTGCTATTTTGATAAAATGAAATACACTTACATGCATCATTCCTGTTTTTATGAGTGCAGGCGGCCAGACTGCAGAGTCGCACTGGCACTGCTGGTGGACTCCAGATAGTTTTCAGCTGCTTGTATAAATGCACCAGGGTATTTGCCTTCATGCTATTCATTGCTATCACCTTGGCACTTGAAATCTTCAGTTCGTCAAACAGCCAGAGGAGCTTTCCAGAGTCTAGCAAGCTATCAACACAAAGTAGAGGAAAAAAATCCTGTGGATATACAGCTTCAAGATAACTGAGGGGTCTCCAGACCTATTTATAAAAAATTTTGAGAGCACCCTTTCCTGGTTGGAGCGGTGGAGCTAACCAAGTGGTTAATTTTCAACTTGTCCCTGGATTGGCTTCTTCATTGGCTCTACGTTTTGTTGGAGGATCGGCTAGTTGATGATTATTCTACATGTGCTTTCCAGGTTCTTTCTCATCTGGCTCCAGGAACACCAAAGGGTTACAGAAACCACTCTTTTGTATGCAAGGAGAGGTTTCTTATCATTTCTTCATGCATGCATTCTTTGAATTTGAATAGTTGTGTATTTGAATACTGATAGCTAAGAATTGCTATCATTAACAGCTGCAATTCTGAGGACTGGTGACTGCTCAAACTGAGGAATTCACAGAAATCTAGTAGATAGACAAGGCTTGCCCAGGAGAACAGGAAAGGGAGCAGCCTCCTGCAGAAGAGTATTTTAGCTCCAAGCACGTAGTACAGTGCCATTGCAGCCTCACGGTGAGGAATTTGTTCTTCTGAACTATCAGATGTCCCCTAAGAGGGGTAATTTTGTATAGACTAGAAATAGAAACAGATATAAGGAACCATCATTACTCCTCCCACTCACACACCACTTTGACCCAGCTGAAGTGTGGCTTTTTTTTTTTCCAGTGGGAAGAACAGATTGAGATCTTTTCCTGACCTATGTTTCTTAGGGATGAAAGCATGAAGAACGTTCCTCATTATTTCCACATGCAATTCCAATAACTTTGTCATCTTATGTGAAGGATTTGTATAGAAAGCCCATCCTTTAATTTTCTTCGGGATGTTTGCTCTTCCTCCCATAGCTGCAATCCACGTAAACGGTACAGACACAAGTTACTTCTGAGTTAGAGCTGTAGTTTCTTAGGCCAAGCACAGAAACACAGGCAATTCATTCTCTAAAGACTTCTCATAACGTTACAGATTACAATAGGCCAAATGGGAATGAAGATGGAGAGCCTTTAGGAAAGGGTGCCTGGGCGTGTCAGGGAGCAGCAAGGGCCAGCTACTCTCCAAGGACAGGGGAGCGGGGAGCCAAGCATGGCACCATCAGAGGCAGGTGCCCTCACCAGCAGGGTGCCACCCCACAGAGGCTGAGCACAGCAGGCAGAGCTGGCCGCTGGTAAAAGGGTCCACTGACAATCCCGAACACTGCAAGGGACAAACCAGGTCCAAGGACGAACCAGAGAGGAGCAAAAGGAGACAGGGCCAAAGACAAGCAACAACAAGAGTCCGAAGTCCTTCCTAGAGACAGGGCCAAAGACAAACCTGAAGACAAGTGCCCTCACCACAGAACTTAGGGGCCCAGGCTTGGGCTTAATTGGGCTCCTGGCCCGTGGGCAGGGCTGTGGGTGGAGGCTGCAGGTGAGACTTGTCAAGGCCATTAAGGCTTGTTAGTGCCCTCAGGTTGATGACAGCACAGAAGTATTGTGGGGCCTTTAATAATTCTCATCTAAGTATTTACAAAATCCATGTGATTATTTTCCTCCACTAAGTACATAGGAGGGCATATTCTGAAAGCTACAGAATCTATCAATGACAGAGCAAGCAGAAATGATAAGATTGTTAACATTCTGCCATTAAAAATTTGCCATTAAGACCCACTCCCTTCTGAATCCATAAAATTACCTGTGAAATATTTTTCAATAGGGTTGGTTTTTTTTACTTAACAAATTATGGTGTTCTGAATTAGAAACTTACTTGCTTGGCAATATTTTCATTAAACATATGCAGTTTCTCATCTCTTATCACACAGGGTGTAAGTGCAAGGCTCAGGCTCAGGGGGTCCTCTTTAGTATCCTAAAGTGGCAAGCTTATCTGTGCTATTTACTATTCCAAAACCTGCTATTTAGGAGAGTCTTTCCTAATGCTTGTCATTTATTAGCTCAGCAGCCTGCTTCAGAGTATCTAAGAGCAAGCCATTGTCAGCTAGGAGTTCTGCCCGAAGAACTGCAAAATCAAACTTCTATTGTTGTTCATAATTGTGGGTAATTACGTATGCGGAGTGTGACTGTATACAATGGAAATGTGCTTACTTTGTCTTCACAGAAACTGAAGAAGTAAAAATCTAGAAATTTCTTGCTGTCACTACCCATCTGACTTTTGCTGTAAGTGCCCCCGGACTGGACAGAGAGGATCAGTATTTGGGTTTTTTTTCTGATGCTTACTAGAGGGTTGCCAGTACTTACATTCTGGTTAACTTCAAATGAATGCTGTTGCTTCAAGAGAGAAAATTACCTCCTCGATTTAGTGTTTCAAGAGATCTGATTCTCCTGGCATCATGCTTGCAAGGGTGTTCCTGTCCTAACACTGTCTCAGTTGCAACACTGGCAAGTCAAACCCAACAATTCAGAAAAAATAGTCTTACAGTTTTCCTGTAATTAAAAAGAGACAATGAAAGTGATTTCATAATTAACATTTTCCTCACCTAGTTATTGTTTTATAACAGCTGACCAGATGATCGATCAAGTAGTGGGAAGCTGCCCAGGATGGCATCGCTGCTGATGTGAAACCTCTGTGGAATAGCTAAAAATATCACCTAGGGCAGCTTTCACAAAGCAGTCAGGTCATTACTGGGTGAGCTTTAACACTCACTTCTCTGTGGATCGGCTCACACTTCCCATGTTAGATATTACTGCAGCCTAAGGGAAGCTTTTATTTGATGTCCAAATTTTGCTAGGACACTTAGTAATGCGACGGAGCTCACCAGCCTGCTAACCACCTCTACTCCCTCCAGTTTTTCATTCTCTCTCTTGTATCAGGGGTCCCCAAACAGGACAGAGTATTTCAGATGTGTCCTCACAAGGTCTGAGTTTTGGGGAATAATCACATGTGCTGGCCGTGCTCTTTCTAATATAGCCCACTATGCCATTAACCTGCAAGGGTGTGTTGCTGATACATGTTCAACTTGTGCTCCAGGATCTGCAGCGCTTTTCTCCAGAGCTTTTCACCCTAGCAGTCAGTCCCCAGGTTGCACCAAAGCATGGGATTATACCATCCCAAGTGCAGGACTTGGCATTTGCCTTTGTAGCACTTCATGAGGTTCCAGCTGACCTGGCTTGTCAGGACCGCTCCGAAAGGTAGCCCTACCATCCTGCATGTGACAAACGTGGTGTTATATGGAAACTTGCTGGGGGGACATTCTGTCACTCTGGCCACTGATGAAGATTTACACTTAGTTTGTTTTACCTCTCACACCTGAAAAAATGGGGTTACATTGCAAATAATTTTGAACAAGTGTCCAAATGGATGCAGGTCCAGAATTGGGAGATGGTCAAACTCTGCTTAGAATAATAGCATTAATGATACACTAATGCTATGTAACATTTTGTATCTGGATTTCTGAAAAAAATATATGAAGGTGGGGACTACACACTGAATGAAAAAGCAGTTCTCGGGCAACCCTCAGTCTGAAGAAAAGGATAAAATCCTCTAAAATCAGTAAGTGTCATGAGCTCCCCTTCAGGCTTTTGATAATCCTAGTGGATTAAAAAAGACTGATAACGGTAATGGTACCTGACCAAGTAAACATGGTCTGTGGCAAACCTGAACAAAGCTGGGCAAACTAGCAAATACTGGGCAAAGATATCAGCTGTGTAACAGAGGTAAAAGGGCAGCCGAAACAGCTGTGAGCGTGATCCTGGGAAGATCACAGTTGGGCAAAGTGCAAACACAGAGCTTGTTAGAATGGCAGATTTCTGAGAAGGGGAATAGCCTCCTATCTTTTTTTTCCCCATGATCTATACAGAGAGATGGAACAGTATGTAAATAAATAAGAGAACATTGAGATCATGCCTGACCCTTCTCACCTTATTTCTCAGACTGGCAAAAATGACCTTACAAGACCATGAACTTTGACCGGCTGGATGACCAAATGTGTAACGATGTTTTTCTCTCTGCTGTGGGATTTTGAGGCCTTTTCTTCCATCCTCATTCATGAAAATTAGGATTATCTTCACTGAATGAAATGGAGTTTACTCAGCGTAAACCAGAAGTGAGATCAGAGTCAGAATAGAGAATGTCTGTGTCTTGCCCGAAGTCATAGAGCTAGCTGAAGGAGGTTCAGGAGCAAAACCCACTCAATCCTGACCTGTTTTCTGTAATAAAATCAAAGAACAATTCTGAGAGAATTGAAAATGGACATGGTGTCTGAAAAGTAGGTGCTGAGGAAGTATGTACTTGGAGGAGGAAAACTGACAACAGATTTCAACAGCAGAGAAGTTTTCTGTTGATAAAGGAGAAATGCTACAGCAAGTTTACAAATAGCATTAATATTACCGTTGTTTAAAAAATGTATTTTATATAACTTTTAATTAAGCATCACTATGTCACAAGATAGTGCATGCTGTGTTCACAAGGATGTGTTTGTGTCCCTCTCCAGTTATGAGAGTTAGTGGATAGAAAATGAGTAAAGTAACTCAAACAGAAACGGAATAAACAGGGGAACTTCATGTACTTCTTTTGTTTTTAATGGCATAGGATGTGATCAAGGATTTTATCCATGGGAAAGAAAATTATTCCTACAGAGTTCTTATGGCAAATGCTCTGGAGTTACTTCTGTGCCCTGATCACATCTTCTGTGTTCTTCGTGCCTTTGTTTCTATATTCTCATGCTCCACAGTGAGTATAATTATGAATGCCTGTCACTTGTTTAAACAAATGCTTTGTTTGACAACCTTTGTTTTCCTGCTGCTGATGCAGCTGCAAAATTGTGTGCACAGTGTGTTAATTTTTTACCTTTGATGCTATGGTAAGTTTTTTTTTTCCTAACAAAAAAAAGGAAACCAATGAATGAGATACCAATCTCTCTTGATCCACACAAAACATGTGAAAGCAGCAACTTCCTTCGGAAACAATAGTAAAT